AAAAAACACCGCCGCTCTCCCATACAATTTTGGCGTCAGTACCGGCGGTGTTTTTTTTTCATACCGCCTGCCTACCTACCTTGTGTAAGGGTCACTCGTATCCACTCTCATTTACAGAGTCAATGACGTCCTCGGTTTTGGTCAAACACGATAATCTAAGATTGGTAAATAAACAAAGCTCCTGAGCATCGAGAAAAGAAAAAGTTGTCCTACATCTCTAATATTCTTCAAGTATTCCTCTTTGCACATCTTTTTGTTATTCAGTCCACCTTTCTGGCGCCAGTCACTCTTATACCCAAATACCCAAATACCCAACAAACTCACAAGCCAACCTCAAATGGCCCAGTTACGAGTTCTCATATCGGGAGGTGGAATTGCTGGCCCCGCTGCTGCTTTCTGGCTCTCAAGGCTCGGTCACTCATGTACCGTCCTTGAGCGGTTCCCCTCGTTGCGTACGGGTGGCCAACAGATCGACATCCGGGGGCAGGGCATCGAAGCTGCGAAACGTATGGGGATACTTGACCAAATCCGAAAACATGCTGTCGACGAAGGTGGATTACAGTATGTGGACATGCATGGGAACCAGAAAGCCCTGCTGGAGCGGAACGACTCTGGTAAAGGGAGACAGTCCTTCACGAGCGAGTATGAGATCATGAGAGGCGACCTGTGCAAGATCATATACGATGCGTCAGAGGGAAGAACACAATACCGCTTTGGAACATCAGTGGAGAGTTTCAAAAATGTCGACGACAAGGTCAGGGTGAAGCTCACTGGGGGAACCACCGAGACCTACGACTTGCTCATCGCAGCCGATGGCCAAGGATCAAGGTTACGACGGGAGATGTTCCAAGATGAGCCCGAGTCAACATATACGCGCTATCTCGGTTTGAATGCGTGCTTCTATGGTCTCCCACGGAAGCCAGGCGATCCTAACCTGGCGACAGTCTATAGCGCACCAGGTCGAAGAGTCATGTCAACACGCTGGCATAGCAAAGACAGAGGACAGGCGTATCTTTTGACCATGTCCCACAGCAAGGAGTTTGAAGAGGTCATGAAGAAAGACGTTGCCTCTCAGAAGAAGCTTTTCAGCGAGATATTTCGGGATGCAGGATGGCAGGCTCCTCGACTCATCGAGGCCATGAACGAAGCCGACGACTTTTACGCCCAGCCTGCCGTTCAAATCAAGACAAAGACGTGGTCCAAGGGTCTAGTTGTCCTTCTTGGAGATGCTGGATATGCGCCGTCGCCATTGACGGGTGTTGGTACGACACTCGCCTTGATAGGGGCCTGTGTTCTCAGTGGAGAGATTGCAAGGAACAGTCACAACATACCCAAGGCACTGGAGGCGTACGAGACTACTTTGAGACCGTATGTCGAGAAGTCTCAGAAGCTGCCGCCGTTTGTGCCGGGGATTGCATATCCCAAGTCTGCTCTTGGTATCAAGATTTCATACACATTGTTGGCTTTGATGACGAAGATCAAGATTGACAAGGCGATTCTCTCGATATTGCCAGAGAATAGAGGTTCTTGGAGGATTCCGGAGTATCGAGAACTCGAGGATTTTGAGGCACAGGAGTCACAATCTACGCGATGATAGATCCAAGTTAGGCCTGGGGTATAGTCATTGGAGCATCATTCTCATAAATGTGACCACAAAGAGCTATGGCGACTTGAGATGGCTCAGTCTTCAATTGAGTTTATGTGATAGTTATCCCGAGGGCTAACTGGGTTGACTACCTCACACCATGACATAATTCATGGCTACGTCAAACAACCAACTTGGTGTGTCAGACTCCTCCTCGTAATCAGGAATCATCTGCACAAGGAAGCCTATGAATATATCGGTTATCTCGGATTCAAAATTCGGCTGCCTGCTGTGGGAAGAGAGTTGACAAAGACGCAACACTTTCTGATCGACAAATGTCGCCCTCCCTCAGCTGCAATCCTACCCCGACAACTCCAACTCCCAATTGGTCCATCAGAGCGATCAACTCCCAACGTTCCCTTACCCACCAATGAGGATTGATCGGGGACTTTTGAAAATCTGGGGAATAAGAGCCAAATGACAGAATAGGATTGCCGTGCTTGGCATTAGCGCTGATACATCTGGCCGACTTATCCGTCCTCAACACCATCCAAGGCTATCTTGTTTGAGCGCCATGCCATCATCCCGCCCGGTTAGTAGCAGATTTGGCGAGTAAGCTTGTTCTGACGGTGGTTTCGATGACCTCATTCATTTGATCTTCTGTTCGGGAACACCGCGGGTATGAAGTCATATCCGGGGACAACTACTTAGAACGACTTTATGGATGGCGGGTTTTTAATCATTGAGGTAAAGAGATGATATCAAAGACGTCGATCCTTGTGGGGAGCATGGAGGATTTGGGGTCTGGAGTCTGGAGTTAGTACACAATGCCCGCTTATATCTAGACCGAGTCCCTTCTTCGCTCGAGCCATGATGAAAGATGACCAAAGCTTCAAAATCTTTAGTAATTAGTTGAAGCGCAATGGAGAAAGACACCAAAGAAACCGCCCCAGACCCTGAACTGGGCAGCACTGAAAGGGTCGAGAATGCCCCTCGTCGTCGTTCCTCAGCCGTCGACCCCGACCACCTCGCCAAGGCATTCGAGAACCCCCTCTCCATTAGAACCAAAGAAGAGCTTATGGCAGACGTTGAAGAGTTCTGCCGCAAGTTCGACCTCATGGACTTTCACGAAGACTTTCGCAAAGGAGCACTCGTCGCACAGTCTCCTCGACAGGCACAACACATACCCGAACTGTCTGCCGAAGATAAAGAGGTACTCGAGCGAGAGCACACGCATAGGTGGTCACAGCCTTTTGCTCTGTACTGGCTTTGTGTCATGTGTTCTCTGGCTGCTGCAGTCCAGGGGATGGATGAGACTGTCAATAATGGTGCGCAGGCACTATACTTGTCGGATCTCAATGTAGCAGGGCCGAACGTGACACGGTTCTCAGCTAGCATGCAGGATAATCTCACTGGACTCATCGTCGGTGCTCCTTATCTCTGCTGCGCCATCATTGGATGTTGGTTGACCGAGCCGCTCAACCGCTACCTCGGCCGTCGAGGTACCATCTTCGTCTCCTGCCTCATCGCAGCCATTGCTTCAGTCTGGGAGGGAGTCGCCAACTCTTGGGTGAACCTCTTCATTGCTAGGTTTGTCCTCGGCTTTGGTATTGGTCCCAAGTCTTCAACTGTTCCTGTCTATGCTGCCGAGTGTGCGCCCGCCCCTATTCGAGGAGCCTTGGTGATGCGTAAGTTGCCACGAATTTCTCATCGCACAGGTCTTACTAACGCTAATCAGAATGGCAAATGTGGACTGCTTTCGGTATCATGCTGGGTAACATCATGGGAGTGTATGACTACTCTTTGAACGCTGCATAGGAGCAATGCTAATGACAGCAGCGCCTTTGGCCCTTCCACCGGCATCGACCCCAACTTGGGCTGGCGTCTTATGCTTGGAAGTACAGTTGTGCTGCCCTTGATTGTCTGCGCACAGGTTTACTATTGCCCTGAATCGCCAAGGTGAGTACTTCACCTTTACCCCTGAATGCTTCCCTATTGACCAGCCCAGATGGTACATTCAGCACAACAAAATCTCCAAGGCTTTTCGATCGTTCCAACGCCTCAGGTACACCAATGTCCAGGCTGCGCGTGACACCTACTACACATACGTCGGTGTTGAGCTTGAGCGTGAGGCGAACAAGGGCAAGAACCTATTTACTCAGTTTATCGAACTTTTTACTGTGCCACGGAACAGACGCGCAACCTTGGCGACTTGGATTGTCATGTTTGGTCAACAAGTTTGTTCCCCTATTAGGCCGATTGGTTTTAACACGAACTAACGTTATGTAGTTCTGCGGTGTGAATATCATTGCGTACTATTCCACCACCATTTTCATCGAATCAGGCTACTCGACCAACTCGGCTCTCTTGGCCTCGATGGGAACAGGCATCCTTAACTGGGTCTTCGCACTTCCCGCTCTATTCACTATCGACAAATGGGGTCGCAGAAACTTGTTGCTCTTTACATTCCCCTGGCTCTCAGTGTTTCTCCTCTGGACCGGGCTGGCCTTTTATGCCAACAGCAACAAAGCCAAGGTCGGACTAGTGACGACGGGAATGTACCTCTTCGAGGTATTCTACTCACCTGGTGAAGGTCCCGTGCCTTTTACCTACTCGGCCGAGGCATTTCCCGTTCATGTACGAGATGTGGGCATGTCGTGGGCGACGGCGACAACTTGGTGCTTCAACTTTGTCATCTCCATGACATGGCCTCGCCTGCGCTCCACCTTTACACCCACAGGAGCCTTTGGCTGGTACGCGGCGTGGTGTGCGATCTTGTGGTTTCTCATTCTGCTCTTCGTGCCCGAGACCAAGGCCCTGACACTCGAGGAGCTCGACCAGGTGTTTGGGGTGAGTACGAGGAAGCATGCCAGCTATCAGATCAAGAATGCAGTGTGGCATTTTAAGAAGTGGGTTCTACGAAAGGACCTTGAGCCTCTGCCGTCGTTTTATACCCAGTCTGAGAAGTTGACTGAGGCTTAATTAGAGGGAGAAGAGTCGAGGGTTAGTTACGTGGTCTGGTTAAGCTATTCACCTTGCATTAAAACAATCCCCAAGCAAAGTCACCGCTCGTTAGGTAGTTCAACATCGATTTCCAATCTAATTGATAGTCAAAACACATCAATCCAAGCCATGTCGGAAGGGCCGGAAATGAGTTTGTACCAGTTCAACATCAGTCACAAATTGCAGTTTCGAAATAGGGGCAAGTCACGTATCAGAAAGTCAAGTCGCAATAATAATTTATACATTTAAGACATGTCCCTGCAAACGCGAGAGCAAAATCTATATACACAAATAGAAAACCATAGACAGATGAAGTTCGTCACCCTCCACTAGGGAGAAGCGAGTTCGGCCACAGCCATCTCAAGAGCCATACGTCTCAGACGCATGGAGGTGCAAGTCGCTGCAAAAAAGCTTACAGAGCGTTGCGTCGGGCCTTGCGGGCGGAGCGGCGGCGGCGGCGGGAACCGCAGCCGGTCTTGGGTCCGCTGGTGCTGACGGGAGCGGGCTCAGCCTGGGTGGCAGAGGGAGCCTCAGGGCGGACAACGGTGGAGAAGGTAGGAGTGGGAGCGGGAGCCTGAGTAGCAGGGCTGTCGTTGCCACCAGCGGCGGGCTGGGTGGCAGAGGCAGCGGGAGCAGAGGCAACAGGGGCGGCAGAGGTAGCAGCAGGGGCGGAAGCAGCAGGGGCAGAGGCAGAGGGAGAAGAGCCAGAGCCGCTGCCGGAACCAGAGCCGGAGCTGGTGCCGGACCAGACAGCAGGTCCGGGGATCTTGTAGGTGGAGGCGCCACCGTAGAGGTTGAAGTGGATGCCCTCGTCTGTGTACTTGTAACCGGTGTTGAAGTCGAAGCCCTCATCGGGGACGGCGCTGCCAGAGCCGGTAACCTCGACCTGGACGCAAGAGGGGTAGAACTGAGCACCACGAGCAGGGTTCTGGTCGTAGGTGGCATCGGACTCGTGGTGGGCAATGATCTCCTGGCGGATCAGGTACTTGCCAGCCTTGAGGCCGGAGGGAAGGTCGAAGTCGATCTTGCCACCGTTGGCCTTGAGCTTGTCAACAGCCCACTGGCCGCCGGAGAGACCAGCCTCCTGGATCTTGGTCCAGATGGCACCGGTACCGTCGGTCTCGGTGTAGGGGGCAATGTAGGTGATGATGGGACCCTTGTGAGATCCATCGATGATATCGTCACCACGGTTGTCGTGGTACCACTCGAAGGTGAGGGTGTCACCAGCAGCGGCGGAGACGAACTTGGGGGCAGCCTTGCCACCGTTGACGTTGCAGACAATGTCGGGGCTGGACAGGTCCTTGACGGGGCTGTTGTTGGCGGGAGTTCGGATGTAGACGTTCTGACCATCACCCTGGTCCTCGCCGTTGACCGAGACGCCGTACATGAGGGCGTGGCCGGAGACGGTGCTGGCCATGGCCAGAGCGGAAGCAACGGAGAAACGCATCTTGTATATGGTTTTGTTGGTTTTGCTTTTGATGTTGAGTTGGATAAAAGGATTGGATGAAGCGTGGAATTCACTGGGAAAGATTCGACTTCAAGATTGTTCAAAGAATGAATGTTTGGCACAGCCAATAGAAAGAAAGTGAAACAAGAGAATGAAGGACAACAACAAAGATTGTGTTTGCAAGGACGAGTGTAAGGAGGAAAGAAAAGCTGTGAGAGGAGGGAGACTCACCTCGACTTATATATCAAGAGATGGGCTTCCATGGAAGCCTCGGTGATGGACAAAGTCCCCACACATCACAATCCTTGCTTCTCAACTAGACGAAAACGAGAAGCAAACGCCAGGATCATCTTTCATCTCGTCAACACACCGTTGACATGGTGTGCCAGGGCGAGTTGCCAGGTGCCACAGTTGAGGTCCCTCTAAGCGAAGGGGGAACTCGGAACGGCAGTTTTCACGCAATCTAGATCGAATTGGGAACGAGCTCTGCGCCTATCTCCCGCCCAGAGCTGGCAGACGGGATCCATCTCCGGTGTTCTACCCCTTGCAGCGAGCGCCTCAACTTCGAGATGCCCTTAGGGGTGTGGTGGCCGTGCAGGTCTGTTTTTTCCCCATACTTGGATGGACATTGATAGACGGAAAAAATGTCGACGGGCGGAAATTGAAACCTGGGTCGCCTATTGAGGACCCCGGCGGCCCGCCTCTTGTACCGAAAGAGTGCTTCTTCCCCGGCGCCTCGGTTTGAGCCTCACGGCGAGCGGATCCATTATTGGACAATTGAGACGGTGAAACTCGCGAGGCCCCTGATCTGGATGAGATCCCTCCAATGACGAAGAATCACCTGTTGAAATCTAGCGCCCAGCCTACGAGGGGGCCAAAGACATCCCTGTAATCAATCCCCCCCAAGGATCCGTTCACAGCTAACCCCGAACCCATGTCAGCACTCTATCCTTGACCTCCTGTCGGATTCTCTCCTCTGTTCAAGCAGTTGGCGCCGTTGGGAGCTCTTCGTTGCCCCTGATGATCATCGCCACCAAACCCTCCAATAACCGTATTTGCCTCTCTCTTTTTTTCCTTGGCGATTATACGCACCCACCGCTTCTCCCACCTGAAACGACGTCACAAAAGAAAAAATCATCTGATCCGACTGGACGGGTTTTTTCTGGACAAGCTGCGGCCTCAAGAAGCCCAGCGGTGAAACAATGTCTCCTTACATACGCCGCTGAGCATTGATCAATGTCGCAAACGAGGAAAAAAAGACGCAAAACAGTGTTTCGAAGAGTTTCTCATGCTGTGAATCTCACACCACTTTCGGTATTTTCATTGCGACCGTGAAACTCTTCCGTTAATGGTGTTTACCAGATTTGATATTATCATGATGCTCAAATGAAGAGCACTATTCAACACCAGCCAATGCGGTTTCAGGTGTAAAAATGTCCCTACTCAAAAGTCAAAGCAAGCATAATTTTAAAGAGATGTAAGATTTCCCAAGGGAGGTTAAGCATGAACCAAACCCTTAAAGGCAATTTGACTATGCCTGTTAAGCTTATCCGCCAAAAAACTCAAGTTTATATGAAACGGGGCCTCCTCTGTAACAGATGGTGTTTGAGGTTTGCCTACCCTAGGATGAGTGTTTTTTTCCAAAAACAAACAGTGTTTGCTGTCATGTTTTGGAGACGGGCGGGATGCTACGTAGGTGTTATAGAATACTTGTCTATATTTCCAATGCGTAAACGGTTTGGTTTTACGGTGTTTCAATTTGTAGAAGATGTGCCCATGAATCATCTTAGGTGGTTCGTCGGAGTTGAGCGACGGACAGGAATACGGGACACAGGAGCGGTAACTAGTGTTGAACTATAGTCACCCTAGGCGCTCTACGACAGCAACATAAAGATAACTATAAGCCAAGGTAGTATCACACCACATTGACTTACCTTGAGACTCGCTTGGTAGTAGGGTTCAGAGGTACTTGGGTTTCAACGAGATTCTCCTTTTACTCTCAACCTCTTATGGACCCTAAACACGATTTTACCACCACTGAGCTCAATCGTAGCTCTCTTACACCGAAGTTACCTGGTTTTAAAAATGGCAAAGATTAAGAGTTCGACAGGAATATGGCCAGCAATGAAAAGAATATTGGTATATGTGAGCAACATCCATTGAGGAGACCGATTGATCGGGAAGTACCAAGACCCCGCCCCGGATATAGGACCCACTCTTCCCGGAGTCCGGACCCGATCTTCCTCAGGCATAGTGGACAAGAATAAGACAAGATTTGGCCTCAGTACTGTAACGTACCCATCTACAAATGGACAAATACTCATAAACCCATTCGAATATTTTAATTCTAGGCCGCCTCAGTGCTTAGGCAAATATTATACATCCAGGTCAATATTTTCCAACGCTGTTGAAAGTCTCTCGCATATCCTCGCCCTCTTCATCGCCCTCCCTTCACCCTCATCCAAGTGCTGCAGGAGTCTCCCTGGCACCACGCAGTTATACTTGTAGTCCTCGGCTCCCTTTGCCATGTGACTAAATACCGCTGAAATCCCCTCTACACTCGCCAAGTTCCCTACGCACCGTATTCGTTGTTGGCAATCCTTCTGCCGTGAAAAATCGAGTAATCGTCCGGCCAGGCCAGCCGCGATGCTCGTTGCTACTGACGTGCCTGTGACCTGCTCTCTTATCGAAGGTGGCACCGAGACACCCTCACCGAGGATGGCAAAGTTCTTGGACTTGGTGGTTTGAGCAGCTGGGTTGATTGACTGCGAGACCTTGGCTCGGCCGTCTGTGCAATAGACACATATTACGTCCTGCATGCGTGCAGGAAAGGTGACCTGTCTGATGTTTCCGTAGTTTGATGCCGCGGCGAACACTAGAGTTCCATCACTGGCGGCTCTTTTAATCGCTCTTCTCATTAGGGCATGATCTCGCTCGAAGCCGGACGCAATACTGATGATGTCCACATTCCAGACATTCTTTGCATGCTCAATCGCCTGTCGACCTGTTAATGAGAGTCCCTCACGCATTTTCCTAGCCGCTGTTGCTCACCTTCAACATTAGGTCCTGCGTGTCATCGTCTGCCTCATCGTACTCAAATACTCGCGCGACATATACTTCAGCATCGGCGCAGACCTTGTATACCAGTTTCACTGAGTTGGTCCCATGCCCCGTATTGTCTTGTTTTATGTCATCCTTGTTTGTCACGAAATCTCGATAGTCTCGTATGTGCTTAGCATAAATGTCGCTCCCGTTGATGCCCGTATCGATGACAGCAACACGAACTGGTTTGTATGTTTGGTCAATCTCATTTGGTAGCGAGGAGAGGACCTCGTTAAGCTGATCCAATTCTTCGAACCAAGCCTTGGACGAGGCCTGCGTGATGCTGATTCTGGTCAGTTTGGACCACTCAAGTCCGCATAAAAATATCTTACCTGCTTGCCACAGCTCCATTGAAGGCGACGGATTTTGCGTTCACGGCTTGTTGTTCTAGTATAGGGACGTTTCTTTGACGGGTTAGAAGCTGAAGGATTACTATCTGATGAATGGGGCTTACCTCGATACTTGCGGTTGTTGCAGTAGAGGCGCGCTGTGGGGTGGTTGTGTTATTTGTCGTATCTGTGACGTCTGCATCTGTACGGTTGGCTTGAGGGCAATCTGCTCTGGCCGGCCGTAGAGCTTTATCAGAGTGTGCAGATGATCTACTACATCATCTTGTAGGACCTTGCGAAGCTCCTCAGCGCTTTGGCGGTGCTGCATGAACTTGGAGGGCCGGAGACAATCCCCAATAACAGTCTTTAGCAACGGGAAAGTGTCTTCTAACCTGTCGGGGTCATCAAAAAGCTTGAGGGCGGCATACAGTTCCGCATCGGAATTGAGTTCTCCATCAGAGGCATAGCACTCCTCGTCGTAGTGATCTTCGATGACTGTTCCCAACTCAATCTCCAGCAAGACTATCCCAAGGGCCTTTATCTTGGGAAACTTGTGTGGCCGGAACTCGGCGTCGTTGCTGCTACTGTCTGGGTCGAAACGAGCGGAGATGAAGGGTTCGTTCAAGTAAATGCCGGCGTTCTTGGCTCCCTGGCGACGTTCAAACATGAAGTGTATGCTCTCGTTTGTCCACTCCTTGCCCATCCAGTCAGTGGAGTAGAACTGCCACACTGACTTGGCTAGAAGGTAGGAGAGTAGATACTTCATCTTTTGGGACAGCTTGTGGTTCCTCAAGATGGTGGACAAGGACACGGAGGGTGTGTTGGGGACCCATGATCTTGCTCCTTCGCACCATTCCACAAAATGCAGTTGTTTGCCTGACACCTTGAGGGATAATTGGTATTGTTCCCTTGTGCTGATTCTCTCACAAAAGTCGGCAATGTGCGTTGGGCCGTCGATATGGAGTTTCACGTCCTCGTCGCCCGCGACAGCAAATTTGGCCTTTCTAAGCTGTGGTCAGCATAAGGCGCAAACGTGATATGGTTCCGTACCTGCGATCCACGGCGATGCGGGTTTCGCGCCATCGGAAAGCTTCCTCGTGCAGTTCGTGATGTGGATGTGCAAGGAACATCAAGTCAAACGCCGGAGAGTCACCCTCTGTTCCGCTCTCTAACGCCAGCCGAAGCCTTCCAGCGATCTGGGTCTGCTCACTCCCAGCATTACAGAAGATGTATGAGGACAGAACCTTGTACAGGGTCCGCATTGAGCCAGTGAAGTCATCTCCTACCCAGACTTCAGCCTTTGTCTTGGGATTTGGCGTTTCGTCTGCAACAGTGAGGGGTTTGATGAAGGCCTCAAGGATCCGCAGGAGGTCCTGCTGCTTCTTTCTCCCCTCAGGGCTCTGGCGTGAGGCCAGCTTGCGGATGCCGTCAACAGCATTCTTGCGGTTGTTTTGGCGAAGTAGACTCAACCCAGGGTACCGATTGGCGAGATCGTGGTTTGCTCTGGATGGGCTTGGGCCTGTTGGCGGCTAAGGACCCGAACGATTAGGCTTGCATCGTGCCTGCCGGCGTTGATTCATGCATACCTTGCATATCCTCTCAAGATTACTCAGTAACTTCAACAGACGTGCTTGGGTCCCAAGCACCGAGTCCGATTGCTTCTGCTCCTTCAGGTGCTGATTGACCAGCCACAGTGCGGCGGCTAACGCTGGACCGAAGAGTTTGTCGTCGCTGCCAACGCCCCGCGCTACGGTGGCCAAGCGTTCTGTGACATCCACCGCGAAGTTGATGATCGTGTTAGAAGAGGCCATGTTCTGTGCGCCATAGGCCAGGTGGCATGTGACTGCCGTGGCTGATTGATTGTTGGAATGAGTGTGAAGTTGATTAAGTTGGATCAGGCTGAGGCTGAGGCTGAGGCCTGTCAAGGGGCATGAGGGGTCACAGGATTGATTGCATGGATGCTTCGTACCTACCTATGTTGGGAAGTATTGGCTCACTAAACGGAAAACAGAGCCTTCCGTCACGGTCGGCGACATGATCAATACCATGGAACCCATTTTTATCGACGAAGGAGATAGGTAGGCATTTTTTACTTTCGTCTCAGGAATGGAAGTGGCTTTTGGCGGGCCGGGCCGTGCCATTAGACAAACTTAACCTAATAATGAGTAAAACCATGAGATTAAGTTCTGAAATAATAGTAGCATTCTTTCAGAATCTTGTCATATTATTTTCATAATCATCTTATATTCCTTAGGTAATATCCTGTCGTGCACTGGGCTCTATATATGTTCTGCTTTTTCACGAACGGGTGATATTCGACGTCAATTGACAATGGCGCTTGGTGGAACCACGATATTCCCCAGGCTGACCTCGTCATCGTCGTTCTCCATCATGAACACCTCACAATCTTCCAAGCCCTCATCCAAGAGAATGGACTCAATGCTTCGACCACGTTTCTCCATGTTGAAGGTTGCGCCTTCTGAAAAGGTCTTATTCGACCACTTTTTGTCAAAAAGACCCTTGGTGATCTTTGAGAGCCTCACTGCCCAGACGAAGTCGTGGGTGTTCTTTGCAGATGTTGAGGTAGAAGTTCCTGAGGAGAAACCGCCTTGAACCGAGGCTTCTGCGATGCCAGCAACCCCACTAACACCAGTCAGAGGTAGCAGTAGGGTGAGTACGGATATCTTACACTCCTGGGCCTCCGTTGATGCCCCTCTCTCTTCCGCGAGAGATCGTCTGGGTAGAGTTGCCACGGACGATCTTGAGTCCAGTGACCATGAATATTTTCCACGTGGGGCGGAACTTGTTGTTGTCCGCCAAAAACTCGACGATTTGCTCGCCTGCTAAACATCGATTGATGTATGGCCTTGAAGGATCAACGGTGAGAGTCTCGAGCTGTTCAATCTGCCAAGAGGTGCCGAGTGATCTCTTGAGGGCCAGGCCAACCGACGCCTTGGCGTTGATGCCCGGGACGGAAGGTACGTCGGCTGCCATAGAAACGTCAACGCCGAATTCTCTATTCGAATTCCATTCAAACTCGATCGGCCCCGTGCGGACGATAGGCGTATCAAGCGAGAACGGTTCAGGGCCGTTTGTGTTGATTACGTGGTCGAGATGTCTGAGGTCCTTGATGAAATGGCCGAGGCAGAGGGGTCCCGTTTGCTTGAACGCGCCGTCTTCGACTCGAGGAGGAGGCACATGCGTTTGGGAAAGAACGAACCAGCATTTGTCCATAGCAATATGTATTCTTCAATGTCAAAAGTCACACGCCGCACTCGTTCAGGATCAGAGATAAAAGAGAACTTGTTTTCATCAGGCAGCCAAGCTTTGCGGGGCCAATCTTCACTACATATCCAGGCATGCAATCAAGTCCTACGACCCCTCATTTCCTGACAACTTCTCTCAGCCTCAGGCTGATGTGATCCTTGCACAGAGGCCAAGAAGTACACCAGACACCAGAACGACAGAAGAGGGCTGATTCCTCTAAAAATTATGAGGAAATTTATGTAGAAATCCTCAAATAATATCCTAACCAAATTAAGATATTGTATCTTTTATACTCATTATTTTACCACTTTTATCTCACCGTAGTAGCTACCCTTAGGGAAGGATGAGCTAATATGTCTGTCCCAGCCTGGTTTTTCCCTTGACCTCACAGTTACACACTCAAACCCTGACAACTCATTCGGTAGTGACCTCGAGAGGCTCGATGACCCTCCGGCGCGCGTACGAGCATGGAACTCTGCCGACGGACCGAAGAATGCCTCTCCCTTTTCGAAGATGCATCAAGGCACCAGGCACTTGCCGACGATGACTGGTTCGAAGATCGGGCTGCCGACTTTGTGTGGTGGTCGCACGGCTTGAAAGCCCAAAAAACTGGCCGAAGCTCTCTTGATTATCGACTAAGAGACCGACCAGATATCCAAAAAGTCATTGCAGGCCTTCTCGATAGTTTGGCACAGGCCTTGAAGGATTGCCTACAACCCGGTACGTCTGTGTCTTGACCCCGAGGCGTATCCGAAACGCAGGGGCTCAGTCTCGCTAGAAGCAGATGAGGGTCAAAGTTCGATCCAAGATGACCATGAGGACGAGGCTTCCGAGTCCGACAACAGTTCGAGTGGTTCGTCCTGGTCCGAGTTTTCGGACGAAGTCAATCAGTCAAAGGACAAGGACGAAGCAGACACCCCAAATACCGAGGATTCTGACCCTAGGTTCTACATTGAAACCAACGTCAAGCTGCTGGCAAAAATATCCATCGCAATTAGGAGATCAGGGGCAAAGCTGCGCTACTTGAAAGCCGATGCCTACCTGAAAGATCACTCAGATGATGACGAGTACACGCAGCTAAGGAACCATCTCTTCTTCCTGATTCTCGTCGGGCCCTACGAACAAAAGCTTTTCGGCGAGCTTAGACGTCGAACTACTAATGAACATCTACCGAAGGCTGTCGAAATCGTGATCCGTTCGTGGATTGTTGATCCCTCTCGGGCGACCTCGAACCAGCAACGGCTTGTCGAGACTAACATCACAAGGAGGAACAGGATTGCATACGCGAGACGCTTCATCAGCAAAGGTTCTGTCCCAACCAAGAGCAAAGACGCAGCGGCTTCGACGATCGTCCCTTCGCCATTCCCAGATGCCGTGCTTCGGCCAGCCAAAGAGCCAAGCACTTTCGGCGCCGATGCACAAGAGCCGTTCCCAATTGCGGACCCCATCCAAGCGTTGCCTATACCCCCAGAGCCTGCGAAATCCCCGACTGCAAAGACTCTGACAGCGACGGAGCTGGGTTCGCAGTTCGTCCTACCTGTCATCGTGCCGTTCGAGCCCAAGAAGGGGGCCATGTCGGTTGCGACCAAAATAACGCAAACCGGCATCAAACAAGACTATCCAGCATGTCCCGGCAAGAAGGGCAGCTTCCAGTGCCCGTACTGTGTGCAAGTTCTTTCTGAGGACTACACAGTAAAGTCCAGATGGCGGTATGTCTTGTGGCTGTTATTTATTGTCTGACAAGGAACCTAACCCTCTATTTAGGGGCCATGTTGCGCAAGACTTGAATCCGTATTCCTGCATCTACCAAGACTGCCCAGATTCCCATGACCTGTATGCAACCAAGGAGGAATGGATCAAGCATATAAGGAGCCAACACAACGAGGAGCGCTGGGTTTGTGACGATTGCATTTTTGAGAGCGACCAGGACGATGAATTCATCTTCGACAGCCAGGAGCTATGGGAGAGCCACATGAGGTCCCTACACAGCTGCCCGGATGATCGCCTGATACTACTATGCAGCATGAGCAAGAGAAAGCTCGTCGAGTTGGCCCAGTGTCCTCTTTGCAAACGGCCCTGTGGGCACTCGAGGCCGGACGAAGATGACCACATTGCAGAGCATCTTCATTCATGGGCATTGAGAGCCCTTCCTTGGGATTTGAACCCGGATGATGAAGCCTCCTCTGATTCACCCGAGATGGGATCTGAGAACGACTTGGCGAGAATGTCAGAGATGAGCGAACTCCCCGAAGACGAAGCCGACAGCATCACAGCAAAAGTATCAGACGCAATCAAGCGTGAGGTGACTCGCTGGAGGACTGACTGGAAGTACGAAGATAATGACCTCTCGGATCGATTCTACGTTTTGGCTAAGGCCTTTGGAGAAATCATTGAGAAATGGTCAGCTCATGGTCAGCCTGACACGCAGAATGAGACTGCGCTGCAATATCTCATGAGCATCAACCAAGCCAGGTTTCAGCTGTATCATGCCTCGGAACTGACTGCCCAACAACGGCAAGACATGGAAGACAACCTGTGTATCAGCATCGAACTTGGTGTAGAATACATGGACGGGTTATTAGGTACGGAAGAGGAGGAGCCATCTCGGGAGCCTTCCATTGACGCAGATGAAATCGAAAGATCCAAGGCACCGCCGCCACCACCACCACCACCGCCTCTAGTGGTTGGAATCCCCATCGTTACGGGTGAAAACATACCTCCATCGGACGACGAAAAAGAGGCTATACTAGAAAACGCTCGAAAACATATTCTCCACTCCAACGATCGAGAAATGCAGTTGGTCTGGGCCCGTGACGTTTTAGTTTGGGCCATGACTGCTGAAAAGGTCAGGTGCAGGGAGCCAGAACCTCAACCAATGGCAGATACCGAGCGACAACTCAGGACCAGCGCTCTGGATATCATGGAGTTCTTGGCCCAACAAGACCATCCAGAGGCACTCTATCACGAAGGCAAATGGCTTGAGCTGGGGCAATTTGGTCGCGCAGTGGATATTGAGCAGGCACTAGACAGATACCGCCGAGCGGCGGACGGCGGCTCCGGGCGCGCTCATTATCGCTTGGGCAAGCTATATCAGCGAGAGTGGGATGACTGGGAGACGGCTCTCAAGCACTACGAGAAAGGAGAGGGGATGGGAGATACTGCGGCAAGCCTCCACCTGGCCTTTAGATATCTGTACTCGAGCCATTTCGAGGAACCAGATATAGAAAAGGGGGTGGCCCTGTTGAAGCAATCGGCGGACAATGCTGACGAGGATGCTCCTCAAGGCGCCTACGTCTACGGATTGGCCATACTAGGAGAACTGCCGGACTTGGCCATAGATGAGTCTTTTTTACCCAAAAACACGAGCACGGCTTTCATGTACATCGAAAAGAGCGCGTATATCGGGTACTCCAAGGCGCAGTGGCGATTGGGAGCCGCATACGAGAGAGGGGCCTTGGGCTGTCCAGTGGACGCAGCCAAGTCCATACACTACTTTCATCTCGCAGCAAGGCAGGGCTGGGGAACTGCAGCCTACGAACTGGTTTGGTGGTTCCTGCGAGGCACACGCAAAGAGGACCTGGTTGTGCCAGACCCGGCACTGTCGTTCAAGTTCGCTCGATGGGGAGCATCTGAGGACGACGGTGGAGCAGAACACATGATGGGCTACCATTATGAGACTGGCACATACGTACTAAAGGACATTGGCGAGGCGAGGAAGTGGTACGAGCGCGCCTCGAATCATGGCTGGGGTGAGTTACAACATTTGTCATGCCAGCGATTCGCAGCCTTGGAGGAGCGAGATGAATTCGTCTTCGGGGTGGCTCTCGATGGCCAGTCCCGTCTGGGACCTTATGTGGAACCGAGGACACTCATCGTCGCCATGGATGTGGGGGAGATGTAAGTGCCTTCGAGACGAGCTGACTGGTGCAACCTTACTGACTTGGTGTTCTAGGTTCTCGTCTGTGTCCTGGGCGGATCCCGTACAGCTCTTCGACTTCGACATTAAACATGTCGAGCTTTTCGGTAGCGGTGACCTGGGATTTTCACCACACTCTCAAATTCCCACGCAGTATGACCCGGAAACTGGAGCATGGGGGAACCCATTCTTAAAAGCTGCTCGACTGCGTAAGCTCACAAACACTCACCGACAGAGCTGTTTCTCCCTCTGGAAAGACTTGTCCAGCAGCATTGATCAAGTTCGGAACCAGGCCCTCGGACTTCTGGAGGTTCATGTGAGAGCCCTGTGGCAGCATTTTTACGACAAACTTGTGGTCAAGATACTCGGATATTTTAATATCGTCGTTTCTCTTTCAGTACCTCTTGGATTTCCTTGGGACTCACTCGACCGGATCAGAGACATGGTATGGAATGTGGTGGACGGGTGGGTCGATGGCAATGTCTACCGACTGATCAGAGTCGATCTCATGGAACCCATGGATGCGGCCATCTTGAATGCGCTTAGGGCGCAAAATCCAGTAGAACAGCCGCCAGAAGGTCCCATAAGAATGATTGAGGTATTGTCTCTTGCACTAGAGAGCCCAGGACTTGCTACTGATCAATTCCAGTCAGGAGATGCCGTTATTGTGTGTGATTGTGGCGGCACTGGTGCGGTACGTGCTACTTCTCGAGACACCTTTCTTTGATATCACGACAACAAGCTAATGTTTCTGCCCTATTTAGCGTGCTGCCAGCTACGAGGTCCTCCATGCGGCCCCTCCTCTAGTCCACCAACTCACAAGCTGGGATAGTAAGTATAGCCGCAAACCGGAGACCACTGTGAAGTAGCCCTGCATGGCTGACGAATTGGCAATTTAGGCGAAGGGTTTGGCACACGCTCGGTCGATATGGAATTCATTGACTATCTGCTCAACCGTTCAGGTCTGAGTTGGAGGACATCATCCAAATCCGCGCGAGATGAGCTGGACCGGCTTATTGTTGAAGAGTGGGAGTATGGCATAAAGAGAAGCTTCAGGGGCGATGAGAGACATGACATTGACCTACAAGTGCCAAGAAGGGCCATTCCCGTCATCAGACGGCTTCGACGCACATCGAGCACGCTGTCAATTAGACCGTTCGTTTTCATCACCCCTGACATGGACCCGGACCTGAGAGCTGATTTGGATTCAGAGAAACGATTCTTAAATTCTTCGAAAAGACTTTGGAAACTATCGAACAAGTTGTTAACGCACAACTCGCAGCTCTGGATGCTATAGGGAAAAAGCCAAATGTTTGTGACTAGAACGATGTATCCGCTTTGGTATCCATGCTAACTAGTCAGTCCATCGTGCTGGTTGGGGGAATGGCCCTATCGCCCTGTGTTTTTCGACATCTTCGCCAAAAGTTTGACATTGCGTTTCATCTGCCTGATATGGATGGGTGAGTGATGAGCTCAAGTTCTAGGGATCATTGCTAACTCGCAGCAGCCGTTCTTCCTTTTCTCAAGGAGTCGTGGAGCTTGAATATCGACACTCGGTGGTAAACCGGTCACCATTTCTGGCTGAAGTAGAATAGAAAGGATCCTAAGCGACTATATCATCTAATGAAATGAGGAATGTATCACTTCTGGGCTGCTAATGGTGAAGTATGTCTTGTTAAGGTTATATATTGGTAAACGTGTTGGGCCTGATGTGGCATTTATATCCATCACTGACTTCGAGTCTGTCTTGATCATATGGATAAATCGTTCCTTCTCTTAAACTGCGGCCAAAACGTAGCACCATCCTTCAAGCATGATCTCTGATCCTCCTTTACATTCGGGATCTAGTCAAGATTAACTCAACTTGCCTAATAATAAGTAAACTAAGTTAGTAATTTATAGAATAATAATAGAACTTTTATAATTTATAATTCTATTTTTATATATAATCTTATATCAGTTAGGGAAATTTAATCTTCTTTAGGTAAGCTGGTTACTTGATGAGGTTGGTCTCGGTATGTCTGCTTCGCCTTAAGAAGCTCTTCCTTAACGGCTTGAAGACGATTGATCGTTGTACCTGTTTGCTCGGGTAGTAAAGAGCAAACAAGGCTAACGAATATAATGGAAGTATCCATTGGCTCTCAATCTTCACAAGGTTTGGTACGAGGTACTTGGTGTACGTATCGTACCTACCTGAGAAGTCTATAGACATATACCCACGTCTACTTATACTTCTCTGCGAGTCGTGTTGCATCTCGTTTTTTCTTCTTTCTTCATCCTATCCCACGCGTCGAGTCTACCTGCTTTTGCTCGTAAGTCAACACAATGGAGGGCCTCCAACCGTCAAGTCCGGAGCCTTCTCAGACCGCCACAGCTCCCGACTTTGGTCAACTCATCCGACTCCTCAAAGACAAGCTGGCCCAAAGCAGTGAGTGATGCCGATATTTCCCTTTCAATGGACGACACGAATGACTTAGTACGCGTTCTGCGGTTCTTGAAGGATGCCAACGATCGTCTTCAAGACGACCTTCCGCAAGCCCGCCAAAACATTGCACCCACCCTTGCTTGACAGAACGGGTTGCTCGATGTGCTGCCTTCGCCTACTCTGCCCGGTGCCAGCTTTTTCATTCCGAGGAGGTGTATAACGTAACCAACGACGGTGGTTTAAGGAGCGCCTTCACGGAGGAGATGTAGAAGGAGGAGTAACTACCCAGGTAAGTCCAGGTAAACCCCCCCCCCCCCTTGTTTAAGTATAGCTTGTCTTAAAGGTGCTAGCATAGAGACGCACAAGACTCTGTGCCCAGACTGGATTTCGAATGTGAAGGAGATTATGCCTGAAGACTGGCGACACGCATTCTGATCAATCCCGTGCCGCTTTTCTGAACTTGATTCCGGTTTCAAGTTGCAGAAATACACCGGGGTATTAGGGACACGGATATTTTGTTCTGTTCTCGCTTGTGGTGTTGTCGTAATTCATGTTGTTGGCGACTTACAATGAATACCTGATAAGACACCACTCATTTATCAGCACATAACTCTATCCAGCCAACCATGGATGCTTTAGAAGAAAACTCTCAGTCGCTTTGCTCTAATTATCACCTTTTCTATCCTGGCAAAGTCATAGATTAATAGATGTGTTGGGGCGGAGGTTCTCTCGAGTAGTAGGGCAAAGCATTGCTATGTATCTTCGTGACACTTAATACCAGACGCGTCGAGAAGGTCTTAGAACTCCACTATGCCTGGAAATGTTTGGCTTTCAACCCTTTCCCGTACCTCTTATGGTTAAAGTATGGGGTTCACAATACAAGCCAACTTCAGGTACCTAGGTACTCAACACTCATGGCATTCATGAGTAAGTACATCATTCCCAAGTGATTCCAGATCAGCAGGCGCTCGTAACTTTGTCACTCCCTTCGCGCCGCGGATGTAGTTGCTTCAGAAAGAGAATCCTAGTACTACCTTGCTCTTATGGTCCTGACATTCATCTTTAGTACCTGCTTCAACAATAGAAAAGCGAAAGGAAGGATGAATGTGTTATCGCAAGAACGAGTTGGAAGCTGAGAATGGGTCTCTTCCGTGAAGATGGCATGGATCTCGAGTTGGTGGTCATGGCAAGTACTGGTAAGCTCCTTTCAATTCGAGAGACGCAAGCAAGGCCAATGGATATACTGGAAGGAGGTTCCCTCATGGTCATTTAGTTTCCGTGTCAACAAGCAGTGTGTAAACAAAACAGAGACTCACTTGTGACGCCATCCATGCCACATGTACTATCCATTGGCTCTCAATCTTCATGAGGCTTTGGCAGGAGAAATCAGATGTATTGGACCTACCTAATCAGTCATTCATGAAGGTACGTACCTATGTCTACTTATACTCCTCTGCCGTCGCGTCGCGTCTCTTTTCTTTTCTTCTTTCTTCATCCCATCCCCCGTGTCGAGTTTACTTGCTTTTGCTCGTAAGTCAACACGATGTCTCATACTAATGCTTCGAGTAGGCTCGCTCAGTCTTCGAGAGAGGGCCTCCAACCGTCGAGTCCAGATCCTTCTCAGACCGCCGCAGCTCCCGAGTTTGGTCAACTCATCCGACTTCTAGAAGACAAGCTGGCCCAAGGCAGTGATGCCGACATTTCCCTTTCGATGGACGACACGCATGAGCTGGTACGCGCTCTGCGGTTCTCGAAGGATGCCAACGATCGTCTTCAAGTAGTCGAGCAGGAGCTTGTCGAGGCGAAGCAGAGAGCTGGAGAGTCTCCGTTCTTGGGGAAGTTCGGAGATTACGCTCGTCACGTTTGGAACGACATACACTCGGCTAGTGATGATGGAGAGCTGCCCAAGAAGGTCACAGATGCCGCGACGCTCATCGAGGACCCGACTGGCAAAAAGGGGACAATCTTCCGCAAGCGTGCCGAAACGTTGCGCCAACCCTTGTCAGAACAGGCTGCTCGATGTGCTGCCTTCGCCTACTCTGTCCGGTGTCAGCTTTTTCATTCCGAGGAGGTGTATAACGCAACCAAGGAGACCATCGGTCCTCGGGCCGATGCCGACTTGGAAACGTTGGCCACCGACCTCCCTAACAGCCGTTCGGACCAACTTGGGTACTGGCAAGAGATCATCAACTACGTCAAGTGTACTCGGGGCCCTCAGGGAAGCAAGAGTGGGAAGACTAGCTCGGATAAGGTCAGTATTCCTCGCCTGTCTGGGCTCACGTCAATTCAGTCTGCCCAACTCCTTGCAATCCTTGCAGCGGATGGCACCCTTCCTCGATCGGCGACACCTTTCCTCCTCGAGCATGGCGTTTTCGGTGCCTCGCCTGTGGTTCCCTTAGTCTCTAGGTCAAATCGCGGCCAGTCCGCTCCCCCCTTGGCAATACGGAAACGCAAGGAGATTGCCGGTGAAGACGTCCCTTTGTATGAACCGTTTGCCAAGCGACAAGAGCTCGGGTTACCACCAGGAGAGAAGGCCAACGATAACGACATGAAAGCGAGTGAGAGGCAGAATATCGATACAGCTCACATGCTGCTGTAGCAGGTGGTTGTGAAACTGTGCGATAAGACGCTCCTCCGGTCGTCCGATCTCCGTTCGGATGAAGCGAAGACGCTTCTCACCGAGATTTTGTCGGATGTCAACCGCCGCATCGAGAAGGCTGAGTTTAAGTCCTTGAAGCATAAGGTTCGTGGGACTGGGGGCTCTATATGGGATCATGGGGACGTGGTTGATGATTGTTTGGGGAGCGCCTTCGAGGAGGAGGAGGAGGAGGAATAACTCCCCAGGTAAGTCCAGGTAGGTCCCCCTCCCCCGTTTTGGTACAGCGTGTCTTTTTGTGTTTTGCTTTCTGTCTTTTCTTGTTTGGGGTTTTTTCTTTTTTTTTCCCCTAGCGTTGTCTTTTCTTGTTTTTGTTCTGTTCTGTTCTGTTCTGTTCTGTTCTGTTTTGTTTTGTTTTGTTTGTTTCTTCATGTTTTTCCAAGTATTCTTATGGGTAACGAAGTCGGACTCTATACCTCCCCGTGGTGTTACCTGGAAACTCCTCTTATAGGTGCCAGCATAGAGACGCATAAGACTTTGTATGTAGACTGGATTTCGAATATGAAGGAGATTATGCCTGAAGAGTGATGCTACGCATTGGTTCCATTTAGCGTATGAGTACCGATACCTTAGTGATAGGGATAAATGCCGAATAAGACGCAACGCATTTATCAATCTATGACTATCCATACCAAAGTAGACAAAGTGACCATGAGAGCAAGGCCTGGGGCTTTTCTTCTGAAGCACCTAGATCCATGGTGCGAAGAGAGTGACAAAGCAAGGTGCCAATCGAATTGCTTAGGTGGGCAATGCCAGGTCTCTACCATGTCATACCATCTCACACACATTAACCTGGGCATGGGAAGAACATATCGATGGCATGTCTCTGCTTAAATGGTGCCTAGGTCGATGATCTAGAAGGAGTGGCGAACTTGTGTGCCATTGGAAAGGCCGGTGTGCCATCATTCCAAAAACAGGAGATCTTCCAGTCTAGACTCTGCAGTTATTTGTTGGGAGAAAAGTTTGAATACAGGCAGAATGAAACTCAAGTGGCCCATGAGTTAAGCATAAAAAAGCACTTCTGACTTGAGACTTGTATCTAAGTTTTCCTGATTTATATCGTTTTTTCCCCTTCTCACCTGATCGAAATACAGTTTGGGTGAACCATTATGGCGCCGAGGCACATCCGTTGGGAAAGTATGCTGGCCTGGATGAGTCAAGCTCTCAGTTTCACCGGTATTTAAAAAGTGAGTGTCTTCTTGTTGTTTACTTACCATCTCATTGTTTACATCAACATCCTTGGAAACTGCTTCTCCAACAACTTCGAGATACTCCCCCTCATAATCACGATGGACTCTCCACGACACCTTCTTCTTCTCCCATACGAGCTAAGAGACCAGATATGGGCCTACTCAGCCGTTACTGGTGAAGCCCATGGGCTCATGTGGTGCTGTCGCCAGACGCGCGACGAGTTCTCTCGATACTTCCCTCGATACTGCAGCATGCCTAACGACATTACCAAACTTGTCAAGCTCAGCATATGGGTGGATTCGACATATACTCAGGGGTCTTGGCTCAAGTTCGCATACTGCTGGGAGGCCCATGGATACCCTTATCGCGCTGTTGAGACAGTTCACGACATGGACGATGCGATTGCTCAGCGACTCCTGGAGATGACCCACGCTGAGGAAATCATGGTACACTTTCAGGCCCCCAGACGAGGCCACTTTGTCGGCGCACTTCTCATGATGCTTGCAAAGGCAGATGATGTATATCATCTCATCATCAACATGTCGAAGGGCACTGATGCCACGGGCCCAAGCAACATCACCATCCGCTTCTCAACTGAAGGAGTACGGCCAGGCCAGTCGGAGAAGGAGGCCAAGAACTTCTGGGAGTGTCGCTCCACAAAGTTTCTACAGGAGGGCATCAGAGAGCGCATTTCCATTCTTCAGTATACGATGCCATGCTTTTACGAGTACTTCTTGATTAACCACCCAGTCACATTTGGCCAGCCACCCAAGATCGAGTTTTGTACTTGGCCACGCGCTCACGTCCGCGTACACTTGACAAAGAAGCGTTACTCTACACATGTTTCGAAAACGGCCAAGGAGAAGAGCCAGAAGGAGTGTGTTGAAAATTTGCCCAAGTCGCGCACTCCCCGCGACAGCTTCGCCACGTACTCGGCCAAGATGATGACCGACCTACGGAACCAGGAGGACTGCGACTTTGACCGCGGATCTTGGGTGGCGACCGACTACGGTGTAGCCAACTTGAAGTACCGGTTTCAGTTCTTGCTCGATAGCCTGGCAGGACCAATTGGCGGTTGCTTGGACATGCTGCGCTTGCATCGGTTCCGGACCATGGGCGCAACACAGGCCAACCTCTTCGCCCGAGAGGAGCGGATGGCAACCAAGAAGTTCGCATCACTTTCCGGAGCAGCATCCGAGATCAACAATCGTCTGAAAATACTGTTTAATCCATTTGCCTCTGAGGATATTCGAGACCTCCGAACGAGCTGCCATCATCTCTCGGCCGTGTCATGGGCCACCGACCCTTCAGCTGAAGCATTGCCCCGGCAGTATTGTCCCCGCTCATCATGGCTAGAGCATTATCCAAATGGGATACGGTATAGTTGGAACGGCAGGAGCCTGGTTTATTGGCGTTTGCAGTGGGCAACTAAGGAGCGCTACGAAACGAGGCGTATGAATATCGTCTGGCTGAGCAGATGGTGGGACTGCTTGTCATGCTGCAGGGAGGCAGGATCGGCAATGGATACCCTCTCCATCCCTTTCGAGAGGAACGTCTTGGATCACTGGTACGAGTTCTTCGGCACTTCTCCTCATAACGGGTTGGGTTCACTGGATTGCTTCTGCAAAGAGTGCGAGTATATCGACAGACGAGTCATGGTGAGGCGCGAGTGTAACCGACCGGTTCCGAGGTTAACCAGAAGAACGGCTCAGTTCCAGGGGCTACTATATCCCGACTTGACTAAGGAATGTCGAGAGTGGAGCAAAGAGGGTGCTCCGAATGCCACCTTTGAGGAGGAATGGGTCTTCAAACGGCCTCGAAGTGGTTCTAGATCCCCTAGTCCATGTCCTTCTTTCTACGAACCTTCCTATCAAATCATGCGACGGGAATACCTTTAATTGTTTTTGCTACTACTGAAAAACCAGATTGAGGATGCCGATATTCAGTTCAGCATCGACCGGCATGGTAGGTCATGATGTTAGTGACCTAGAATAGATACCCAATAAGACATGATGCATTTACCTATCTATGACTTTACCAAGCCAAACGTGGAAGCATATTAGGGCCAGAAAATGTTTAGATTTTACTTCTGAAGCACCTGTATCTACCGTGCGAAGGGAGTGACAAATACAGGTACTACTCAAAGCAGCCCTTCGAGCACCTGCTGATCTACGATCACTCGAAAATGACGCAATTCGTCAGGACCCATTTATCTTCAGTAGATACCTAAAACTGGTTTGTATCGTAACCACCATGCTTTGCTCAGAGAACGAACACAATGATCACCTTGACGCCACGCCCTTCCATCCACGGGCCGGAAAAGTGGGTCAATCCCGGAGCCCACGGAGCAATGTCGTCCATCTCCCTCGGATCACACCCCGAGATCAAACGCTGATACTCTCCACCAAGATCTCTGACCTAAAATCCTTCCGGAGCGCGTCTAATAAGCACGGCCTATTCCCCAACCGAGGTCATTAACACGTGGTGATTGGTGGACAGTGCTTCAGTCGGTGAGAACAAGGTGAGCCGATTTCTGGACCAATAGCTTCACTGGGCCTGGATTCATCACTTTTATTAGAGTTTAGAGAAGTTTGATTTGACAGGACGGGGGTGTTGTCAGCTGCAGTATAACCCCGGAGTCGCAAGCGTCTTCTCCTCCCGTCAGGCACCTATACCATGACTCGGCGACTCCATCAGGAATTATCGTCAGGCACCAAGAAAAAAATAAGGACACGAATCCTGAACAAGTCGCGTGTAAGTGGTCTAAAAACCATGGGTCACATTTGAGGAAGCACCGCCATCGATCAGACCTGGTCCCTGACGAGTCCACACCCACCACCCGTCTGGATGAAACACGTCTCGACCTGCACGCCCACCGACATAATACCCGGGACATGTGAGTCTCTGAACATGCAGAAGCTTTCACCTCGCCTTGATTGGTTCTGTCTGACTGCATGTTGCTTTTTGATGTAACAGGGCATTGGATGGAAAAAAAAGTGAGGCGGACGGCCTCAGGCTAAGGGACAAGCCCACCCCAGGGCGTCTTGGAGATGTCGAATCATCACTCCCAATGCCTCTTCACTTCGTCTCTGCCTCGGCCCTTCTCTGTGGCACTGCAAATCAAAAGACTCCGATGGAGTGGTTCGGTATCATCCGTGATGTGCAACTAGGGTGTGCCGTTACACACCAGGGTGGTAGGTAGACATCTCTACGAGTTGCAGATGTCATCTCGGCCCAATTCGTTGGGCTCGCAAGACTTGACAAAGCAATGCTGGAAAGCCCTGATTTCTGATGTCCATGCACAGAGGCTTAGTTGATCAATATGACAGCAGTTTAGTTACACTGCCTCCCGAGGTAGTTCATCTCGAGTGACCCGTTGCACATCGCGCCCAGGCCAGCTGCTGTCCCTCCCCCAGACCATCGACTGGGGTTAGCCGGTAAGACGGTTCCTTTCCCACGTGGTGTCGCCTGCGGCCATTACCCCAGCTTGTGGGTGGTCGATCTGCGGAGCCTCAGTCGGGTGCGCATGAGGCCACCAATGACGCGACCTGTCATATACATCTTTGACGTCACGCCTGTTGAAGACGTAAATATTCGTTTGATTTTCAACCGTCCAGGTGCTGTCTGATTCACTTCTCCAAGTTTGAACCCGCTGAGCAGGAAGCTCAAGGTGAGGTTGACAAGTGTGAGCCTCATCCCAGACCGCCTCGGTGTTGCTGATGGGGCTGGAAACATGCTGCTTAGTAAATAGCAGCTAATAACCAGATGGACTCGTAATTCTCCATCATCCACTAAATACTTGATATAAAGTATTCTTGTGCATGTCGCGTTAGGGCTGGCAGCCACTTGCACTGGGCGTCGTCTTAGTACAGCTCCATATATGCACAAAGGCGCAAAACTACATGGAGGCGCACTCCCCAGTACAACCGTACATGCTGTTGATTCACAGCCTTGCATTGTACATGCCCTTCGGTTCCTGGATGTACCCTTTGACTCCCGATGTTCTGTCCTGTGCCACAGGGATGGCTATGTCAGACGAATTTCTCCCTGAAGCTTGGTTAAATGCCCTTGTACAAGGGGGTGCCGAGTATCGAGTCCCACAGGTCTAGCGCGGACGCCTTGTCAGCATGTTATTCTCCGAATCTGAGGCCCAGCAGCTTCTAGCGCAAGGGATGGTCTCGGCCTCATTGACAAGGGGAAACCTGGTCGGACGTCTCACTGCCACTGGTTTCCTCCTTCGCCTCGTTCTCGAAAAGTTAATCCTCCATGTGACAAGGGGAAACCACTGCCGTTGGCCGCCATGCGCGCTGTCCCCATGTCTCGGGATGTGCCATGCTTTGTGACACCAAGCAGGTGTCATTTCGGGGGAACGGATCGAAGTCAAGCAAGCGCTGGCTGACAAGTGACCACGTCAAGATGTGGACTAAACTGTATAAACGTCGATATCCAGTCGTTGCAATGAAGCGAATAATGGAAGGCGGACGTGCATGGCGCAAGATGCAAGGGATGTACCGCACTTTGGGTGAAATGTGCAGTACAGACCAGGTTTCCGTAGCAATAATACGCCCCCATCGAGATTACATAGAAGCATCTCAATCATGGGAACCGCAAACTCGAGCGTCATGAGGCTGGCGACGGTGATGGCGACGAGAGGAGACAGCTCAGTCTCGTATCTTGAGGCACTTGTGGAGGCGCTAACCCACGTCTCCCCTGGCTTGTGTCCTGACTTTGCCGCGGCTGTGATTGAGCTTGAAGGTTGTACCAATTGGAGCTCCCTCAACCAACCATTCCACCCAAGCCTCCCCAAGGCTAAGCTGTGTCGTGGCTTCTAGCGCGAGGGGAGTGACATGTTGTCTGGCGTCAAGCAACTGCCGATCTCTCTGCTGTGTACCTCGTTCAAACAAAACGTCAGCATAGCCTCTCTCGTCGACAGCCTCTTGTGGCTGTGGAAATTTGCTGCCGTGCTGCTGTGTGCCGTGTGCTCACGGCATAGCCGTATACACTGCAAAAACTAAGCCACTCCAGCCTAACCCGATTTGCGTCCGATATTGCTGTGAAGCAGCGGTATCCTGGGACGTGTTGCGAATGTGTTCACAACGGATGTGTGAGATGTGTGTACAGTCTCGGGCAGCATCATAGGGGCCCGACTCCATGAGCTAGCGTAAGACGGCCTCAGGCCGAGATTCTGTTGAGCCGCACTCCTCATACGGGTATAGAAGGATCGGCCGGAGCTCCTGGGGAAGGGGGATTGTAGATCCCAGGATCAAGACATGTAGCGTGCACGATCCACTGCAGAAGCATTATGGCATCCTCAATCTCTTCCTCCTGGTGTCATGTCTCGACGGCCTCGGGACAAGAAAGCCTCGACACTTGCTCTCTCCTGAGTCACGAAAGCCCTGCCCAAGATATTTCCTCGGCAGGCGGCCACGACATTGATTCTCACCCTGACTCCGAAGGCAGCAGTGGCAGCAGCATCGGTAGCAGCATGTCATGGATTCCAGGCAGCGATGACAACAACCCTGACCTGGGACATCGAACATTGGAATGGCTCTGTGACGCCGATCGCCCGTGGGAAGCACTCAACCTCTCCGTCGACCGGGATCTCTCCTTCTTGGTGCAGGCGTCAAGAGGCGAGGAAAACGGCGCAGCGGTCGGGGTTGGGGGCCTTCGGGACTCCCCTGGCCGGGACGAAAGAGCTTCCACTTCCGGGACAGGGCTCTCACTCTCAGCTTCCGGAGCGTGTAACTAACGGCCCGCGAAGTTGAAAGGGTGGGGTAAACTCCTCCCACCCAATAAGAGAGAAGTGAGTTGTCTTGACCTGAGACTGTTTCCGCTGCTGACAACCACGAAGCAACATGAAGGCATCTGGATCTCGTGTGACGCAGCCTTTGTCGAGGGGTTCTTCCACAAGGCCTTGTTTGCGAGAGCCGACAGACACAGCTGAAACTCGACTCTGCCCGAGATTCGATTCGACTGCGCCGATAGCACCTTTACAGGCGATTAGCCACGGCGCATAATATCACGCCATTCGCTGTGCTTCCATGCACATCAAGCGCACTATTTAAAGAGTTGCCCATCAACTCCGAAGTGTGATGGGGGAGGATTGGCTCAAGGGCCGGTCGGGGGTGACGAGGCTTGCAGGAGGAGGCTGGGGGAGCAAACAAACATCTCAAGGCTGGGTCGAGATTGGAGTGTCGAATGAACCAACATCCAAATAGAGACCGCAGATCTCGAGACGCAAGACATGGGTATGGACGGTGAAAAGCCAAGTCGGATAGCGCGGCTGTTGAAGGAAATGGATATGTAGCGTCGGTAGCGTAGCGTATGTCTTAATTCAATCCAAATTTCTCCATGAATTGATTGACACTCTTCCAGTTCAGCCGCAGTGGAAGGAATGTTAAGGTAGCATTGGCTTTCAGCTGTCATGTACGCGATGTTGCATGAGCCCTCCATTGAATCTACCCGCGCCATGCCAGCTGCCGCTATCGTCTTGTGGTGTAACTCTGTCTTGTTGTCGGCCATACAACAAGAGCAGGGGTATTTGGTGATGATTTTTCTTGTGTGCGTATGTGTTTCAGTTGTGTGGTGGTTAGCCTCGAATCCCTGTACCAACACATGCAGCCACATGGAGACTATCAAGTCTTGGTTGCAGGAAAGAGATTGGCCTTTTGAACCCGTCCGTCGCCCATTGAACAAAGTGTTGTTCGATTGTTTGTTCAAGTCCAATCGATCTTCTGTCGTCTTTCAACCCCTCGAGTACCAAATCCAACAATCAATCTTTGGAAACAGCAAAGTGATCGACCAAAAAGATCCCGTGACGCCTGTCATCAGCCTGTCACCAGCCATGACACATCCTCAAAAATACGTCGGTCGACATGGCTGAAAGTGCACCCCAAAAGATTGCCGGTCATGTGTCGTCGTTGTCGCCATTGTCGCTGTCCTTCTCGTATCTTCCGAAGCTCAACTCCTCATATCGAACCGTCCGACTCTCGTCTTCGATCTCCAGTGAATAGAACCTTCTATTTCCTCTGGGATATATGCCGCCCCACTATCTCGGGATGCAGCAAAAGCTACTGCACCTGATAGCAGCTGCCTCGGCGACCCACGGCGAACTGGATGCCTTCCTTTCCCACTAGAGAAAGGGGTTTCCCACCGATTGGAGACAAGCGGACACGTAACACTGCCCCGCGTGACTTGAGCAGGGCACGCATGAAAAATCAGGGCAATACAGGTCGCTATTGTTGACCAAGCTCTCCTTGACTCATGCCGAACAACTAGCCACAGATGAAGCGACGACGACGACCTTTCAAGCCCCCTGAAGGGTAGTACAACTCAACAGGGCCAGAACCGTCTGGCTTTGGTTGGCTCTGGATGCTCAGACAGTATCTTGTTGGGATGTGTGTTGTCTTTTCATCATGCTCCCGGAGCAAGCTAACCCCAAGCTCCAACCACTAGGAAGACAACTCTTCGGTACGCCTAGGGGCAGTGCTTCATGTGCTTCAACCCACAAAGCATCACGAAATCTGCCCTGGGTCGGCCTTGGGCAGTGCTGTTGGCCTGCGATGTTTCGAAAGTCGTGATAAAATCGCCGTCTGCCGCTCGCCAAAGACCTCGAGTCTCTTCTCTCCAAAACTTCCTGCCATCGAACACTTCCTCGATTCACTCCCGCCGAATCTAGTTTGTTCCATCATGTCGCATCGATCCGATACCCACCGCGAAGCTTCCCGGCGAGAACGTAGCAGTCGGGGCAGGGAGCAGGCGCCCCAGCATCAAGGACACCGCCAGCCTTCCGTGTCTCAAGTGCTGCACCAACAAATGCAGCAGCAGCAGCAGCAGCAATACACACCCAGCTATGCGTCGAGCTCTGGGTACGCAGCTACTGGCGCCTATGCCAGCTATGACACTTCTCAGGGGCAATCTGGGACGCCAGACTATGTCACCCAAGGCTATCCCCAAGCTCCATCCACACCTCGAGCCCATCAGGGAAGGTATGATGCTGTTGTATGCTTGTAACATGATTGGCGTTTGTTAACTAGCTTTATAGTGTCCCAGACAGCCAGTATTCGCCGGGTCGTGCCGACACCCGCGTGAGGATCGGTGGCTACCAGGACGACCCCGAGGATTCCGCCCGCCGGACCGAGTCATTTGTCCGAGATGGCGATGAAAACCGGGTGGCAGCGTCCAGGTCCTCGCAGTCCCGCCGAGCTCACAAGAAGAAGAGAAAGGACAAGGCCAGGAGCGCCATTGACGAATTCGACGCTGCATACCCCAACGCTGCATACGACGCCGCGAACCCCCACACCAACCAGTACACCAACGCATCTGGCCAGTACAATGAAGACCCCGACCTCGACTGTGGCAATGGTCCCAACCAAGGCGGTAGCTCTTATGAAGGCTACTAGGCCCGGGAGCTAGTGTCATTGGTGACTCCTTCGTTTGCGATGATTGGTGTTTGGGGTTGTACGATATGTTGAAAAGGTTTCGGTGTCTTGGCTGTTTCGTGGTTGGATGGATTGTTTTCGAGTTTATACTGTACTCATTCTGGGTATTTCTTTCGTCTCCTATGGGTTAGTTCGTCTTGGATAGCACTCGCTATGTTCAGGCACAATTGCCACTTGACAGATTGTACTATCAGAATGGATTCCAATTTGGTTTGTTGGGATTGGTAACGGATCGTTTTCTTAGACTGAATAGACGAGTTGAACGAGCCTGTCGAACTCTGGCTGGTGATGGTGTGGAGGTGTTGTCTTGAACCAACCAAACTCCAAGTGATCTGCTTGTTGGCTGCATACTCTAACGCAAGAGCGCGGCACCAGCAAGCAAGCCATGAATGAATTCAGAACTGGCAACGCATGCTGGCTGCGTTCTGCAGCTAAGACATATCCAGTGGCCATCGAATAACAGTGCCATCGAGCATTCAGCTGCTGTAACCCTCCCAGCCATTCATTTCCTATTGAGGAGTCTTGGGCCCCAATGGTTCAAGCCATCACGCTGTCGGCTGTGTCTCAAATGCCAATCGGGACAGGGGATAGTTGCATCTGCCCATCATGTCTTGCGAGATTAAGTGCAGGCGGCCGCCATGTTGTCCCCCATCTAGATCGTCCCGTGTAGCGGACTCCTGCAGATACAGTACATTGATCGGTGCGGAAGAGATAGGATGCGGGGGCTTCAAGACTTGCAACCATCGGTCGGCAAAGTCACCGCCAAAGGACTCCCCAGGGCATTCCAGGGAAGAAACAACCACTATGATCACTGATAGCTAGTAGTCCTCAGCTGTAGCCTGCAGTGCCCTGATCTGCGACAAGCAGAATTCTAGGGGGACAAGTGGCCACCGACGCCACCTAACGGGACAAACGCCAAAACCAGGGTCATCTCCATTTGAGCCAGTCCTGCCCACACACACGTCGCACTGGGCTGCGGGCGGGTATGTAGGTTCTCTGATGGATGGGCGGGCGGATGGCTGGAGTGTGTTTAACCCAAGGGAGGAGGGAGTTAAGAGTGGCCGCGTTCCCGCTCGATCTTTTCTGATCTTGCTCTTTTGCCCCTTTCTGCTCTTTGCGAGTTTTAGCTGTCTGCGTTGAGTTGGCTCCTGCTAGCACTTTCGTCCTGCCGTCGTGGAGCGACGCTTTGGCGACACATTTACCTCCCCAGCTCAACACACAACACGTCGAGTGCCTTGTCCTTCGATCCGTTTCGTTTTCGACCAATTTCGCCATGACGCGCAGCAGGGCGTTTCATAAAGGGGCCAATGTCGTGTGTCGGTGAGCGAGAGACGGACCCGTCGGTGACATCTTCCAATGAATGCCGCATCACCTTTTATCCCAAGGCCTACAGTCCGCCTCATTGTCAGTACGCCGGGGCCGTTCTGGTGTGTCATTGGCTGTCTCCATCAGAGGCACCATGGCCCGAGGCCACAGTCCTCCGTCGATGACTGGGCCACATCGTCTATACGACGGAAGACGAAGGCTTCTTCTTCATCTCGTCGTTATAAACTCGTCGTATCCGATCATCCTTCAGGTAACTTGAGTTGATCTTCAAGTTGTCGGCAACCCAAAATAGTTCCCAGCCTGCCATGGTCTTGTCTCGCCTCACTGTTCCCCTCAGTCAGCTAGCTCTTTCGCTCTGCCTAGGCAGTCACACGCACCTCTTCCACCGTTGACCCCTTGAATCCTCGTTGTCAAAAAATCGCAGCCATCGAATCCATCCGAGCCAAACGCTACTCGATCCTCTGCATCCTCAAACGGAAACACCGCTCTCGATCTTGGAACCGCAGTCTCTCCAACCGGCAACTGCCGTTCGTCGTGTGAGCAACCTCGAAGGCTTTCGCCAGAATTTGGGACCCCGACCCCTCTTCCTGAACAACTGCTCGACACCTCACCGAGATCGTCTGCGGGAACGAGGCCTTCCCCTAGATCCGAAAGGAGGTGTTGTCCAGCCATCTCTATCCCTTCATCATCGCTAGAGTGTTGCCGTTGTCCCCGAAGGCCGGCCTGACCGTGTGGAGCGTCGTCCATATCCACCCATCCTTTCCTCTTCATAAACGGGTGCTTCCTAGTAGGCCAAGAAGAAAGTGGGATCGGAGGACCCTGGTGAACCAAGACCCCGGTTCCAAACATTGTCGTCAACACCTGCGCCATCATGAGTGACGAGCGCCTCCACTCCGCGTGGGATTATTGCACCCATCCAGTCTTCTGGTATCAGGGGTATTGGTGCTGTCTGGATGAACAGTGCGAATATCGATACGTGCCGGTGCCCACAGACCCCTCTTGGACGTATGATCCCACAGGCCACGACGGGGATGGCTTGGCCGCGGAGCCTGGTGCTGATGGAGAGAGCAGTTTGGTAGGTTTCCAACTCCATCAGTGAAGACAGTCCAATACTGTATGAAGACATGCTGACACAGACCGTTCTCAGGGTGACGGGACCTCCGGGTATGGAGGAGCCACTGCCTATGATGAATGGCGAGACGATCATCAAGCTAGCAGCCAGCAAGACCAAGATGCGTACCAGTGTTATGTCCAACAGTACGACGGCTACCAGCAGGATGGTTACCAGCATGGTGGCTACCAGTATGGCGGCTACCAACATGGCGGCTACCAGAATGGTGGCTACCAGAATGGCGACTACCAGCAGGACCAGCAGGACGATTACCGGTATAACAACCAGGACGGCGGCCAGCACAGCGGCTACCAGGAAGGCGTTGGTCAGGACGACTATGGCTACCCGCCGAACGCCGAGCAACCAGTTCCTCCGTCAGATGTGGCTACCATGGGGAGTGGATCGAGGTAAGGAATGATCCTTTTCCAGAATGTTCGAGTTGCTAACCTTGGCCAAGTGCTGCCCAGACAGACTCGCCTAGTTCGACGGAAACCCCAGACAACGAAGACGCTAGTATGGTCGGGAATGCCGACGAAGATACCGAAGACAGGACCTGGCCGTATGTCCAGGAAGACAACAGGGACGGTCAAGATGTCGACGAGGCCATGAACGTGTTTCCCGATTGTCCTGTTGTCGACACTCGCTACCCACGCAAGTTGTCGTTCGGGACCGAGTCCGAGTCCGGTGTCGATCAATCCAACATCGAGGAAAGGCCAGACCTAGGACCTCGATAAAGGAGCAGAAATTGGGTGCCTGAAGAGTGCATAAGCTCCTCCACTTGAGGGAGCCCATCAATGTTGTCGGAGGCGTTCGAAAAGGGGTTCGTAACATGAAAAGAGTCAAGTGAAGGGCAGGTCCTTTTCGCTGTCAATGATCATGATGATGATAGAAAGATTTCATTTCGCATGGATGGCTGCATGGGATGGACATCGGATAGAAAGAGAGGGAAGGGGCGAATGGAATATGTGTTCTTTCAAAAAGACTCTCAGGGGAAGATGCGTGGAACCATGAGGAGGGCATTGGAAAGGAAGGTGCGTTCATCAGGAGTATAGATTCTGGGAAGAGTTTCGGGGAGAGTTTTGGGAGGAAGGTGGTGTCTTTCCAGGAGGAGAATTTGTTTCCCTGGGAGGAACAAGGACTTGACGTTGAGTCAAGGTTGACGTTTGATCGAGGTGATGTGCGTTTGCTTGCCACCTATGCACAGCCTTGATCCTTCGTCCCGAGATTGGACATCCATGGTGGTCAGGGGTTGAAGTTGGTCTGTTTTGCTTCTTTGGACATGCTTTTGGTTAATATTTGTTCTCGGTTATTTCGCCCTAGTTTGATATTCGATATAACCCGTTTCAATGGTTGCAAGCCCAGAAGCCTTCAGGCCATGCCGTAACGCCACAGAAGGCGAGGGCGTACGCAAACCATTTTGTGGCCCTTGGATGTCGGGCCGCCTTGAAGAGTGTGCCTCATTGGCGATCATGACTCGAGGGACCAATTGAGTTGCCGTTTGCAGCTCGCCACAGTCTCTCGGCATGATCCAAGAACAGAAGTATCTCCATGATGACTGCTGTCCATACGAGGGTCATAACCACCCATCATGACTGCACAGCCATTTTTTTATGCAGTTTTGCTTCGGGTTGTGGGCGCGTTTCGGAAGGTCATTCGTGTAAGTCGCATAGGTTGTTCAGCTGCCATATCCAGAGTCCAAGTGCCAGCGACCGAGTACAAAAGAAGAAGGAGGGAAGACGAGGCAAAAATGGCTTTAAACTCGGTCGCCGAGACCAGGAGAATAAATCATTCGAAAAAAAGAAATGAGGCCTCGCCTTGAGTTGATTTAGCTCAGACTGGACGCAAATTGCAGTCCGCTGGGGTGTGACGGCCCCCAGACGACCGGGATCGTGACGTCGAGTGTGTCAGAGGGAGGTGATTGTCAATGTGCATGAGCATGAGGCTTGCCGTCTCATATATTGAGGCCTCATGCCTCGTTCTTCGTATTCCTCATCACTCGACCGAGCTCCCCGGAGAGAAGAGGGAGACTGGCCAACCGGGCATGCCGGCTTATTATCGACGGATGGCTGAGCATGCACGAGGTCCCTCATTACGAGTCCACAGCTCCGAGGCATCCAGCTGTCGCAAAGCTAGCTCAATTACTGCGACTCGAGTCTCCGGTTCATGACCTGGTCGATCAAGTTCACGACGATCCATGACCATCATCGTTAATCCTAGGGCTGTCGCCTGAATGGTTGACCCATGTTGCTGGGTATTGAAGTTAGGCAGCCTGGTTGCCTTGCCGTTCCTGCGTTTAGTGACAGCGGGGACTGCAGCCACTAACACAGTCACAGCGACCCTTGGCTAGTGAGTCAGATAAGGCGACCACCACAAACGCTTCCCCAGAAATGATCGTCCGCAATGGATGTTATATATCGTAGGTATGAATATCGTGCAAACGAAAACCCTCAGAGATTTTTTTCGCCTTGTGCAACGTGATTGCTTTGTAATAGTTCAGCCTGGACCAACCGAAACTTCTAGGCAACCTGCAGGACAAAGACTCATCCCCTCAAACCGCCACATCCCTCAAAATGAAGCCCCTCGAAATCTCTGGAACGACAGGAGAGGGTGGCGGACAATTGGTGAGGACAGCTATCGCTCTTTCAGCTCTCACCGGCCAGGCAGTAACCATTTCCGATATCAGGGGTGGACGTGAGCGCGGAGGTAAGTGTTGCGCCGACCGACGCGTTTGGATGTCCTGCTTACCATTCGCAGGACTCAAGAGCCAGCACGCCACGGCCATACAGTTTCTGGCAGAGGCAACAGACGCAGACGTCGAGGGCTTGACCGTGGGATCGAAAACAGTCACTTTTTGCCCCCGTCGTGGTCCAGCTGATCTCCTTCGGCGAAACATCAGCATCTCGGCCGAATCTGGTTCAGCCAGTACGCTGCTCATCCTGCAAGCGATTCTGCCTTTTCTGGTGTTTGCAGGCAACGAATCTGACGAGCCGGTGGAGCTCGAGATATCAGGAGGCACAAATGTGTCCTTTTCCCTCAGCTTCGAGTATCTGGATCAAGTGCTTCTGCCTACTCTGGAGGATCGCTTCTCCATCCGCGTCGAGAGGAGGCTGATCAGACGCGGCTGGAGCCTTGGTCCCCAGTCAAGAGGCAAGATATGGATCAAGCTTTTCCCTTTGAAGGCAGGACAGAGCCTGCGGTTCAAAGCCCCTGAGCGCCCACAGGCCTGTGAAGTCAAGTCTATCGACGTCAGCATGGTTGTGCCTATCAGCGTCCAGGAGAAGCTCCAGGCATCACTCACAAAGGACCTGGCGGGCCTATATCCCGGGTCAGATGTCCATTTTAAGCTGGTTGAGGACTCGAACCTCGATTCACGGTGGTACATCCTCCTAGTGGCTCACTCAGGGTCAGGAATCCGATGGGGACATGATTTCCTCGGATCCATGCCCAAGAAGACCAAGAATAGGGACAACTTTGCGGCGCAGATCTCTAGCAAGGTATGTCGTGGTCTATATGGGGAGACATCTGCAGGAGGCCAGGCAGATATCCATCTTCAGGACCAAGTTGTTGTGTTCCAAGCACTCTGCGACGGCTACTCCTCTCTTCCTCGAAACGACGAATCTTCGCCCGACATTCTCATCGACGCAATGGGCAACCTAGACATCGGCAACGGACGAATGAGAAAGGAAAAGACGCATGAACCCTTTGGACATGGTTCACTGCACGCGCAGACGGCGAGATGGCTGGTCAGCGAACTGCTTCCGAGTGTCGAGTTTTACAACAAAGGCGATTTAGTGAAGGGCACCGGCACCAAAGTCTAACTAGCCAAGCCCTGATCAGGGTTACCTACTACTTAAGCAATTGCGGAACCGAGTGGGTGCAAAATCCTCCCGCTCGGCCCATCCAATGACGCTATCTGGCTGCGCGTCGTGGAGTGACTAGTGACGTGGTCGCGGGGTGCATTGTCGGGAATACTGCCGGCGATGCCCAAGACGGGCCTCATATAGACCATAGCTGACTTTATTGCCTTTGTGTTACCATCTTGGGAAGCTGGGTATATAAATCATCATGCTGCCCCTGGCCGAGTGTTTCAGCTTGGGTCGAAATAGAAACAAACTCCCGAACTAATTGCTGCCTCGCCCCATCCTACTTATCGTCCTCGTTCCGAATGCTGCACTTTCAGCGATGCCCAAGCCTACGATGACGACGAAGGCACCTCTCCGAATCGATATTGTGCCCAACCGAAGCTTCCTTCATGCAATGTCCACGTCCTCTTTCCCCAGTCCTCGCCAGCAGCACCAGCGGCGATATACACAGGCATGAGGTGGTCGGCAAAGGGGTGTGCCTGCTTGGCGTCTCCGCGCTTACACACGGCGGCCATCTTGTCCTCTCTCACAGCAGGGTCCGACTCTACCGCGTCTCTAAGGGCGTTATCGAAGCTCACAACATAGGGTAGGGGCTCCGTCTTTCCCTCGAACATGAAGTGCATGTCGCGGAGATTGTGCACCGACATGCCAGCACCGATGATGACAATGCCTTGGTCTCTAAGCGACGCGACAGCACGACCAAGGGCGTAGTGAGCATGAGGGTCTTCGTTCTTGAATAGTGAGACCTGGACCAGAGGAACATTCAAGGGGTTCGTCTCCGGGTTGAAAGCTATCTTGATGTGAGTATATGTTATGCACTGGATGCTCTATGCACGTACCGACGTGGAATCCAGACCAGACGCCATGGTCAAGACCGCGCTTCACTCCATAAGACTGAATGCCAGCTTCTGAGAGCATAACCATGATCTTGCTGGCGAGCTCAGGGTCACCCTTGCTAGGGTACTTGGCCTTGTAAAAGTGGTCAGGGAATCCATAGAAGCTATCAACGTGTCAGCAGAGGCCTGGGCAGTCAGCGGACAACGCACTCGTAAATCAGGTCAGTGTCAACGGCGTTGTTGACGTGGATAGTGTCCTCTTTACCCATCCAGTGAGCCGAAAAGACAACAACAGCCTTGGGCTTGACCTGCTGTGTAATCTCCTTTCCGATCTGCTGGAGGATTGGGTACACGGGGTGCTCCGTGTTGTACTGAACATCGGGCTGAGGGGCATCAGCAAGGTCACTGTGTATTCATGAAAAGACGACTTACACCTCCATGGCTGAAAAAGTAAACCGGTGTCTTTGTAGCTGATCGTGTCGCCAACGAAGCACTAGCATTATTCTGCTGCCCATGCCAATCCAGACCAACCCTCTGCAACGTCGATGAGAAAGCCTTGAGGGGCGCCGCACCAAAGAGGGCAAGCATGGCGACAGCAAGCGAGACGATACCAATCAAAGCTCTGAATTGGGCCATGTTGATCACAATGGCTTCTTGCCCTTGGACTTGATATTGACTCTCTAAAAGGAGAACGAGGCTCCCGGGGATTGGTATTTATAATGTCTATATCCGTATTTCCTGATATCGCGCCGGGAGATTCCTCAAGTGTGGATCTACCGCGCGCTTAAAACTGGGGAACCAGCGTTGGGTTTGTAAGAAACTATTAAAAACGACCTTGTCTGGTATGTTGTCCTTTTTTTAATAGTTGATTTAAGCTTTTGTGCCTGTATCAAGTTGGCCTGGTTCAAGTCCAATCGGATTCTCCCGCGAGGATGAACCACAGCAACGCGTTGGGCATTGTTGGTTCGTGTACTACAGGCATTGGGTTTCATAGGTTTATCGGTTAATGGCTGGAAGAAGTCAAGAGTTGCGTCTCTTTATACTCGAGATGGGACGGTACTCCAAGCGGAAGTAGAAGCCATGATATTCCGAGGGGTCCAACAGTGGCTTGATTGACTAGCTACCTTATTGTACACAACGCGCCATTTGCCTATTCTCCCGTCATGCATGATGATGCACACATGGGGAAGCCATGATATTATCACGAAGCTACTTCATATCTGGCCAACTTTTTTCTGAAAGCATACTGGCTGTACTATTCTTAAAGGTCACAAACTACAGCAACACAACTACACCTCCAACAACAGCCGCAACACCGGCAAACACGGCATTCTGCGTCATCATGGGCGCCGCATTACCCGAACTTGTAGTTTCGGCCTCGGTGGCTTTGGGCTTTGATGCGGCCGTGGCAGAAGACGCGTCGGTGACAGAGGCCTCATCAGCAGCAGAAGACTTGTCGGCTACTGTCGTGTTCTCCTCCTCACTCAGCCTATCGGCACCAGCGGTGACGATGATGGGCGCCATAGTCTTCTGGTAGCTTTCAATGGTAGTGTCGGATACATCTTGAATGATGTTTCCGTTGTGCGACATGGAAACTTGGTGTGTGCAGCTGGCTTGGTCCTTGTCTGGGTCGAGCTCGCAGTGGTACTCCTGATAGCTGGCGTACTGTGAGATATATTCACTCTTGAGAGACGAATAACTCACTTCGTAGCGTCATCAGTCTCGATGGTGATGGTCGCTGTAAGAGTGGACGGGCCGCTGGCGATAATACCCGTGGTAGAGTCCTTGTTCACGGCCAAGGTGGTGTCCTTGCCGTCAATGGAGACAACAGAGGCCTTGTAGCCCTCAATGTCCTCGGGAATCCACCACTTAACTGTCTTTGTCTCGGCGGCCGCAACAACAGCGAAGGCACCAGCAAGGAGGGCGAGAGAGCGAACCATATTTCGTATGAGGATGGATGAGTTGAGTTGAGTCTAGAGAGGGACCTCCCTCAACGGGTACTCTCCTAGTTAAATACCTACCCGAGAAGCATATATTTACTAGTACATGGCACTCAGAATAATGAGATCCGCCGTGAAGAATTGACATGCTCGCTCTATTGCTAGTTTTGAGAGGTTGCTTTGGGACTTCAGTCTCCTTTGGTGAGGCAGTAAACGTCAGAGTGACCGAACGCCATGTTAGGCCGCTACATGACCAATAACAACACCTATGGGGAAATCGACATTGTTTTCATAGGAAAAGAATGAACGAGAGCGTGAAACCAAGCTTCTTCTGGAAACCAACTCGCAGTGGGTCGTGATGATCCTTGATTTGATCCATGGGGTTGATACCCACCAAAGAGAGGCTCTGCACTGGGTAATTGATTGCAGTAGCTTCCAGTAGACACTCAAGGGTTTGACTGGCTGTTTCTTATGTTTATGGTATCACCAGTTTATTCGTATAGGTATTCATTCTATGATGTTGGTTGCAAGAACAAAAAATATCGCATAACTAACTGGCGCCATTCTTGGCACCCTCCAAGTCTTGGCATCGTGCCTTGGACGGGAGACTGTTGGTCTTGGCAACTCACCACAATCGCCTCGCCCAGAGTCGCAGTCGCCATCGCTTCTCTCTTTCTTTTTCCCTCTGCTGCTCTCACCCGTCGACTCGCCTCTAACCCCGTCCGCCCAGCCCTTGGCACTCTACTCGGCGGCCCTTTTGGCTTGGCTTTACGAGTGACCGACTCTGACCCTTTAAACTCGGCCATGACCTCGTTTATCCTGTTTCCTCGTCGTAGCTGCTGTTCTCTTGTGCCGTAGCCCTTTCGCTCCTGGGCTTACAAGTCATACCTGCGCTGCAAACCCTGCCATCTATCCGCTCACATCCCTGCAAGAGTTTGCGCCCACGTCTCTTCGATGATCTTGACCCTCTCCTGGACACTGCTGGCTCTGCTAGCCCTCTGCACAGCCGCGCCCGCCAACCAGGAGGCCCCCGCCGTCACGACTGCGCCTATCTATCTCCCCTATTACAACAAGGAGTCGTGGTCTGTCGTGCGCGGGAGCATCATCTCAAGTGTGAGTGCTTCGAATCCAATCGCGTGATGTTGACTAACCCCTCAAGAATCCCGAAGCACAGGAGACCACATACACAATATTTTGCCCCGATGCGACCGATTCGAACCCGCCGGCTTGCGATCTTTCGCTCGAGTTTCCTTTTGTGCTAATAGAAGGACCCGACACGATCCAGTTTCATGGCACTCACACATCGACACTGTAGGTCGCGACATCACGACGAGTAGGATCATGAGCACTGACATTGCAAAGCACGGCCAATCTAGAGTGCACACTACACGGCAAGACGAGGGCAACATGTTCCGGATACTCCAGCTTTGCTGACGGTTACGATAACGGTGTTAATGAGGGTCCAACCGAGGTGACATGGACATCGACATTCTCGGGCAGCCAGATGGAATGGGGCGTCTTGACCATGGCGGAGCTTCCTCACGACCCCGATTCTTTCACCGCGACATGGGCAACACCGACGGGAGGAAGCGAGTTTGTGTCTGTACCAATGGCCACCGAGAGCGACAGTGACAATGCCGGCGCAAGCAGAAGCATCGACGTGTGTAGAGCCGTGTTTGCGGTTGTGTGTGTAGCCGGATGGCTATGGTAGCACGGCAAGGTGACGAGCAGCACAACATGAGGATTTATTCCAGAATGGAAGAGCAAATACCGAGGGCGGCACGAAGCGTGATCTTTTGGAACGATTATACCCGGTTGTTTAAGGCGCGTTGTTTTATTGGGTTGGCTATTTTGTTTCGGCGTTTTGCATAGCGATTGCGTGGCATTGGGAATGGAGGCAAAGAGCGGGAAATGCGTTGAGAGTAGGGAACAGGATTGAGTAAAATCACATGGCACAGAGCCGCATTTCATGAACCCCTGATTGTTTCATGAGTTTGGTATTTGGTCTACGGCATGAGGTGAGGTCTTGAGTCAACTACGGCAGTTGAGTGAGCCATGAGGTGCCATGTCTTTGAATGGCAGTTCAGCCAATCTCTACTTAGCGAAGATGGATCATGGTACTATAGAGCGTAAACTTTACTGAATTTGTTTGTCGGTCAGACCGGAGGTCTTCTGGTGTTGGATAATCCAAGTTACAGAGAACCTAGATGAGAGTGATGCCAGGAACAAAAGGAATACAACAGCACCGGCTTGCTTGCACAAGCAGACCCAGACAGATATCGACGATCAGAAATTCCAAAAAAAAAAAAAAAAGAGAAAAGAGCAAAAAAAGAATTGCCAGGATTGGGATTCGAACCCAAGCATCTCTCGATACTGTGGAACTCCCTTGTTTAGAGGGAAGAAGCTCAACTTTCTTGAACACAGCGCCTTAGACCACTCGGCCATCCTGGCTTATTTGTTGAAGGTGCGTTTAGTATCTGGTACTATGGAGTCGCAGGAGCACCAAAACCATAAAGAAAAGTAAGATGAAGCAAAAAAAGACATCTCACGATGGTTTCAATGTCAAGATTGGGATTCGAACCCAAGAATCTTTCGATACTGTGGAAGTACACCCTTGTTTAGAGGGCAAGAGAACTCAAGTGGGTCTTGAACACAGCGCCTTCGACCGCTCGGCCATCTTGACGATTTGATGTTGAACGGCGATTCTGTCAGGGCTGATACGTAGGGCGTGGATGGTGAATTGGCGGGTTCTCGTCAGTTCTCTCGAGGTTCTCTACACCGTACGTATATGTGATTGTAGGTTCATTACAAGTCGTCGTGATTACTGATTGCTCCTTGTCAGACGCCGAGGCTCTGGTTCAAACACCCGCCTACAACAAAGCTTGGTTAATTCGTGAAACCACCATCCCACATGCAGGTACCCTTCTGCCACCCATTGTTGGAACCATCCGTTTGTGCGACTCAGATCACTCCGCTAGTGCCTATCAAAAACGCTAGAGGAAATGAGGCCAAGTCTATGACGAAAAATAGGCAGATCTATCACAGTGACAGTCCTGTCTCTTGCTGACGGGCTTGCTGCGAGGCTTTCAGGGTCGCAAGATTACCCTCGAATCATGCATCAGAAAGAATGATTTACGCATACGAGAGGTGCATCTCAGCTCCAAGACAGGAAAATCTTGGCTCTAGGGAATGTGGGTGTAAAAGCAAAGACCAGAGTCTGTCACTGTCTTTTCTGCAGGCCAAGGTCTTGGCCGTGAGCTCCCTTCTCCTTCCAGCTCGCTCGTCTCTTTTCGTCCCATGTTTTTTATCCTCCATGGATGTCACCTTGAGGGGCTGACAGCTAGCACAGACGGTCGGGTAAGCACCGTGAACCGAAACCATTCTAGCCATTGATGTCACTAGAAAGGGACAGGGTCTAGAATCGACGGTTTCCTGTACCTTGCTTGCTATTTCACGTGTCTGACTCAGCAGCCATCTGCAAGGTACCGATCATGATGGTTGACGCGGAAGACAGAAAGCGTTGAACGGTTCCTTTTGTTGTTGTTTCTGATTGAACATGTTTCACGTTTCAAGCCGGGCGCCTTTTTTTTTTCACGTTTGCTTGCGTGTGCATGTGTCTCGGTCTGGGATGCAATGCGATGCGATGCGATGAATGGATGAAAAGGTGAAGCAAGGGAAGAATGCATGTGGGTAACGTTTATGCAGAGCTGACGGGTGGGCTACAGGGATCATTCTGTGCTACGTTGTACTCTGAACGGTGAACATTGATCAGTATCTACAAAGTACAAGAGATACAGGCAAGAAAGGCATAAGGAGATAATCTACTTGAATTCTCCGTAGGCGCGCCATCAGCAACATGGTCCTATCAGGAGTCTTGATGACGTTGACATCCCCCATGGCGCCAACCTAACTCACAATCTCAGCGTCTCTCAGCGCCTGTACCGTCCCAGCTGCCACCCAAGCCAAGACACGTCCAGTGGGTCTTTTACCCCTGGCGCTTTTTCCAACTCTGTTTCGAAGGCGTTTTTTCTCGCTGGCACCATCATCGATCACCGCCATGTTTGGTGTCAAGCGGTAACAGACAAACAGGAGATACTGGGTTATATCTGTTTGTTACCCGCGCGGCCAGACGAAACAATGGCCATTTTATCTGTAACACTGATTTTCTTCAATCCAAAGCATGTCACTGGTCAGTTTTGACGGTTGATCGACCGAGCATCGTGGGTCGAAAAAAAATCCCATGGGGAAGCCGAGTTTCAGGGGTTATAATCCCTGGACTCAAGAGGCTGAGCCCAGCCCAACTGCGGAGGAGAGAAAAAGACGTGGGTTTCTTCTCTCAGCTCCTCTTGATCTAGACTTTGCTTTTGGATTAGTTGACCCTACCTACTGCAAGACAAGACAAGACAAGACAAGACAGGCCTGAAAGCAGCCAGTTGGGGGCGATATTAATAGCCCTCTCCCGTCTTTCCAAAGCTCCATGTCATCCATGCCCTGGTCGATCTAGCCCGGTCCAGCCTTGGAATCTCTTGTCGAGCCTCAGCTTATTTCTCGTCCTCGTATTCCGATTCTGTTATCGTATCTTTGTCGAATCGCTTCGCTTCTGGCCCCTCTGACATTTTTTCTTCTCTTTTCTTACTTCTTTCTCTCTCCCCATTCTCTCCTTCCATCTGTTCAAGGGCCATTCTCTCCCTCAATTTTCAGCTTTGACGCGACTTCTCGGCCTGAATCGTACATAGATTTCTCTCGCTTTACTCGACACATTCATCGGCTGCCTCTGACATTCATTATCTACAAGGGTTCAATATTCATTCACCCGCAAAACAAGACGTTACCCACTCGACCCATCGCTCACTTACACCCACATCGACACAATCATCGCTGAGCGACACCAATTTTTGCAATCATGAAGCTCTGGGCCTTGGCCAGTTTGGCCTCGCTCGCCGTGGCTGCTAACAAGACAGCTCCCAGTTCCTTGGACATCAAAGACCCTGGTATGTCGC